AGGCCCAGTTATACCACCCCTAGTATACGCCCCAAATTAACATACCACAGTGACGTTTCTGCAGCCATATTTACTGCTGCACTATTCACAATAGTTAAGAATCGAACCAGCCTAGATGCCCATCCACAGATGAGCACATAAAGAAAATGTGGTACTTACATACAGTGGAAGTTTATTTAGCCGTAAAGAAAAATGAAGGCATGATATTTACAGCAAAAGTATGGAACTGGAGATTTTCTATAAAGCAAAATAAGGCAGACTTAGAGAGACCAATTTTCTCTCATACAACAACTCTAGTTGTGAATTTCTGTCTTTTTGTGTTTCTCTCTGTCTCTCTCTCTCTCTCTCTCTCTCTCTCTCTCTCTCGTACTAGAGCTAGAACTCAGGGCTTTATACCTGCTTGCAAGCACTCCATCACCAAGTCATATTCCCAGCCCAGAGTATTACATTGCAGTTTAAAATCATAAAAGGAAAAATAGAAACAAGATTGTAATTACTTAAAAAACAACTTGGGCCAGATGTAATGGTGCATACCTTAAATCCTAGCACTTGGGAGGCAGAGGCAGATAGATCTCTGTGAGATTGAGGCCAGCCTGGTCTACATAGCAACTTCCAGTCCCATAGCTGGAACTACAGGGAGACCCTGTCTCAAAAAAACAAAAACAAAATAAAACAAAACAAAAACTTGCCAGGCATGATGGTGCATACCTTTAATTCCAGCACTCAGGAAGCAGAGGCAGGTGGATCACTGTAAGGCCCAGGCCAGCATGGTCTACATATCAAGTTCTAAGCCAGCCAGAGATGCATAGAGAGATCCTGTCTCAAATATTTCCAACCAAATGAGATGGGACTTCAGGTCCTGAGTCCTCTTGGCTGAGTGCCTTAAGGAATTCTCCCCATCCCTTTTCTAAGGGCACTGTGCCAGCATGGAAAGCCTTCCTTTACTGCAGAGCACATTGTGAACTGTGCCTGGGCATGTGTGTCCAGATGAGCAAGAAATCATCAGAGTATGAGGCACCCAGACACTTCCACCATCTGTGGCTACTTGACTGCCTCTTTTATGTTCCCCAAGTCCCTGCACATATGGGACCGTATGGCCCCTTCTCCTAGCCTCAGGCTGGTAGAAGGTAAGAGGATTCCTAGAGATTAGCCATTCTGTTGGAGAATGTTTCCCTGGGGGATGCCACGGGGTTTTAAGGACACTGTCACGCCAGTGGCAGAGCTTCATTAGATTACCCAGCTGCGGGATTGTTCTCCCAAACCACAGCAGATGGCCTAGGGCCGCTCAGAAGGAGGGTGGGGTACTATGCTCCATCTGAGGTAAACACTGGCAGGTTAAGGGGACAGTAAAGTGACATTCTGGACCCAAAGCAGAAATCTTGGATTATCTGATATCTGCCAGTCTTGTGGGCTAGGTAAATGCCTCCACATGGCTTCAATTTCCTTCTCTGCAAGTGGAACCATTGTTGCCTGATTGAAGTAAATTACAGTGCTGTAGATGGTAGATCTAGCACAGGGAAAGGTGTGGTATGTGGTTGCTGTTCCTTATACTCTCCCTGTCTCCTCAGTTCCCAGGAAAGGTCCTGTTCCTGACCATCTGTGCAGCTGGCATTGGCGGAACTTTCCAGTTTGGTTACAACCTCTCCATCATCAATGCCCCAACTTTGGTATGTACCTTCTGTGCCCACTGTCACTGTCTTAGTGGTCACTGGTTGAGGACATCTGCCAGAAGCAGAGCTTCAGCTCAGCACCCACTTCATGGCACTCTCTCCCACGTGTCCCTCTCTACCAGGATGCCCATGGTCCCTGGGAGATTTAAACAGAGCTCAGTGTCCTCTCCAAACTTGTATCCTCCTGGGTTACTGTACTTAGCATCCAACGCCACCTTCCACCTAATGATGGGGAGTCAACCCTTGACTGTTTGGTTTCTCTCTTGGAAACCAGGGCCTCACTACCTCTAAAATCCAACCCTTTCTCCCATGTCTCTGTCACAATCCAATTTTGGGTGCAACCTCCTTACTTCTTGATCCCTTCAACATTGCCAAGCTACTCTGAGACACAAAAATTCTGTGTTTTTCCCCCATTGTCTCTGGGGTTCAGGAGAGACTCAACCACCCGCTTCTTGATCCCTTCAACATTGCCAAGCTACTCTGAGACACAAAAATTCTGTTTTCCCCCATTGTCTCTGGGGTTCAGGAGAGACTCAACCACCCAAACTTCAAAGCACTCTGGGATCAGAACCTCTCCCCCTGTCTTCAGCTTGATCCATTTAACCCTGAACAAAGCAAGTTAAATGTAGTTCCCCAAATATCTGCGGGATGACTGTTTCTCCAGCTTCCTTCCACCTGGAGGCCTACCTGGGTGATGGATAATATGCTTGCTGCTCAAGCGTGAGCACTGGAGCTAGGATCCCCCTGCACCTGTGCAGAAAGCCAGGTATGTTGGTGAGTGCCTGGAATCTCAGTGCTGGGAGGTAGAGACAGGAGGCTCCCAGGGGCTCACTGACCAAGCAGTCTGGCCAGTCAGTGAGCTTCATATTCAGCGAGACCCTGTCTCAAAAAATAAGGTGGACAGCCATAGAGGAAGACACTGAACATGGACTGCTAGCTTCCTCTCGTGCACACATGGCTTGTGCACCTTCACATAACACATGCACACATGTATACACCACACACAATTTTAAAAATTTATTTGTATTTTATTTTGTGTGAGTGTATCGCCTACATATATGTAAGTACACTGGTGTCATGTTGCATCTCCTGGAGTGTTGGATCTCCTGGAACTGGAGTTATAGACAGTTCTTAGAAGCCATATGGGTGCTGGGAACAGAACCTGGGTCCTCTGCTAGAAGAGCTAGAGCTCTTAACTGCTGAGTCATCTCTCCAGGCCAACACGCGCACACAGTTTTAAAAAGAAAAAGAAAAAGAAAAAGAAAGGATGAAAGAAATGGTATAGAAAAGAAGTTCTGAGCTAGCTGCTCTTTATTCATTTATTCTTTGTTTTGTTTTGTTTGGGTTTTTGAGGCAGGATATCATGTAGTCCAGGCTGGCTTTGACTTCTACGTACCATAGAACTCCTGATCCTCTTTCCTCAATCCCCACCCCCAAGGTGTTGAATGTACCACCACATTCAACTCATTTGGTTTTTTGAGACAAGGTCTTGCTGTATAGACTATACTGTCCTTGAGTTCATGATCCTTTTGCCTCTGCACAACCTCCACAGTGCCCCAGGGCTGGGGACACAGGATACCACCATACCAAATTCTATTTATCATTCTCTCCACAAGCAGTTATTTGCATGCCAACTTCAGTGTAGACTCACAGACTGAGGAGGGATCTCTCCACAGCAAGTCACAATCAGACCTTGCCTCCCATGAGCTATCACCAGTCCTCAAAATTAAGATGCTTGAGCTCAGAGGTTCTCCCTACCCTGTAGAATGGCATTAAAGAAAATATTCTGCTAACGAAGAAAACATGGGACTGAAGAGATGACTCATTAAGAGTACCTACTGCCCTTCCAGGTGACCCAAGTTCAATTCCTATTAACCACATAAGATGACTCACAACTCCCTAAAGCTCTAGCTCCTGGGGTTCCAACCCCTTTGGCTGTACTTGCACCTGTACTTGCATGCATATACCCACACACAGACACACATAATTAAAAATAAAATTGCCAAGGCATGCCAAGGCATGGTGGCACACTCCTTTAGTCCCAGCACTCAGGAGGCAGAGGCAGGCAGATCTCTGTGAGTTCAAGACCAGCCTGGTCTACATAGTGAATTCCAGGTCAGCTGGGGCTACAGAGAAACCCTGTCTCAAAGAAACCAAAAATAACAGCAACAACAAAATTGAAAACTGGGCATGGTGGTACATGCGTTTAATCCCAGCACTTGAGAGGCAGAGGCAGGCAGAGCACTGTGAGATCAAGGTCAGTCTGGGATGATCTTGTCTTTTAAAAAAAAGCCAAAACTAGCCGGGTGTGGTGGCACACACCTTTAGTCCCAGTACTCAGGAGGCAGAGACAGGAGGATCTCTGTGAGTTCAAGGCCAGCATGGTCTACATAATGAGTACCAGGTCAGCTGGGGCTACAGGGAGACCCTGACTCAAAAAAACCAAAAAAAAAAAAAAAAAAAAAAGCCAAAACTAACTAATTAAAATTTTAAAAATGAATCAGTGACACCCATTAAGTCACATTAAGGAAGACTTCATTCTGGGGAGCCATGGCAACAGATGCAGAGAGCACTGCCAGAGAGATGAGCCTGGATTCTGAATATAGCACAAGCAAGGGGGAATTTATAGCCACGTAGAGTGGAGCAAAGATAGAAACTAAGAGGAAACATCCCAGATCAAGGAGAAATGTGGCTAAGCTGACCTCCCAGGATTCTTACTGAAGGCAGGCCATGTGATCAGACATCATCTCAGGGAGGGGTGGCAGATGAGGAATCTCATCAGACACTAAAGGGTGAGCAGACCTAGGACAGGGCGTTCTAGGTAAGTCAACTTGCAGAAGGTAATAAGTAGTATAGGAGGCTATTTTATACACTGAGGTTCTACACTGGACTCCAACAGACTAGACAAATAAATCAAAATGGAGTCATTCACATATCGAAATGAAACTAAGCTGCTTGTTTGACCTTTTGAAGTCAGGATTAGGGAGATAGCAACCAGATTTCCCAAGCAGACCAGTTTTAATTTGCACAGTAAGGAAGAACCCTCTGCTTCAATTCTCACATAAAAGGAGTAACCTGAAATAACCTGCTGTCCACAATTTTCCTCCTGGTCCTCTTTCTCCCTGTACCCACCTTACCAGAAGGTAACTTTGTTTTTGTTTTTTTAATATTTTACTTATTTATTTTATTTTTTATTTTTGGTCTTTTTGAGACAGGGTCTCCCTGTAGCCCCAGCTGTCCTGGAACTCACTATGTAGACCAGGCTGGCCTTGAACTCACAGAGATCCTCCTGCCTCTGCCTCCCAAGTGCTGGGATTAAAGGCGTGCACCACCACACCCGGCCATATTTTATTATTTTTATCTTATGAGTATGAGTGTATTGCCTGCATGTATGTAAGTGCACCCCTGTTGTGCAATGCCCTTGAAGGTCAGAAAAGGGCGTCGGATCCCCTGGAATTGGAGTTAGGACAGACACTCATACACATAAAATAAATTTAACAAATTAAACCTACTGAGGATAAGTTGCTCTATTCAATTGTCCTTTGACATGGGGTTCTTGTCCAATTGGACAGTGCAGAGATGAGCACAGAAGAGTTTGAGTAGAGTTTGGTGAAGGAGACTCTTTGCTAGTGGTCACTCTTGAAGGGTTTCCAGCCTGGATCAGGACAAGCTAGTTCTGGTTCCAGCTCCCCTGGACAGTTCCTCCCCAAAGAGAGAATTTAACAGAAACTAAGCTGGCAGTTATGGCCCTAAGCTGGCCAGGGGAGGGAGAGCTGGCTCAACACATGCACCTACCACCCTCCTTTGCATCCTGTGGGGACCTCCAAGACTGATACTTCTTCTCTAAGAAAAAGGTGTCCAGGTTTTCCTTCTTCACAGCCTTTCCTAATCACATGGTTTCCATTCACAATCCTGAAGTGAAGGCTCTGGAGGATGGAGCTCTATGGAGGCTGAGCTACCTACGTGCAGCCTGACCTTTGCCTAAGTCTGTGGCAAGTCATTTTACCTCTGATCCTAACTCCCAGTCTGAACAATGAACAAAGTAATGGAGTAATGCTCTGATAAAATGCAACTGCCCCTAAGTATCCATAGGAGATTGGTCCCTGGACCCTGTGTGGATTCCGATATCCATGCATGCTCAAGTCCCTTGTATAGGATGGTGTGTATGTGTGTTAATAGAACCTAGGCACATCTTGTAGACTTCAAATCATCTCTAGGTTACTTCTCATACCCTAATGTGTGTAAATGCTATGTAGCTGTTATAGAAAATGACAAGAAAAAGTATTGATGTTCAGCACAGGTATGTTTTCCCCTGACTATTCCACTCTACAGTTATTTAAATTCATAGATGCAGAACTGCTATATATAGAGATAACTATTTTCTTTTAAAAATTATTATTTTTATGTGTTTGAATATATTGCCTACATGTACGTAAGTGCACCTGTGCACCTCCACCCATGGAGGTCAGGAGAGAGCATCGGATCCCCTGTAACTGGAGTTACCCCAGTTGTTAGCTTTGTGGGTTCTGGGAACCAAACCTGGGTCCTCTGCAAGAGTAATCAGTGCTCTTAGCCTCTGAGCCATCTCTTCAGCCCCAGAGACAACTCCTTTCAAGAGCTTGCCGCAGAGCCCTATGGAAACCCAAGATCCATCAAGTAGTTTCAAGCACAACAAGGGGCTGAGTAAAGCATAGAATACACACACCAAGGGAAAGGGCAGTCATGCAGTCAGCAACGCTCCATCTTACACCTCTTCCCTCAAGGGATGAAACAGGAAAACTGGAAGAAATAGACCATATGACAAAAATTCTGTGAGAGGACAGTGATGATCAAGGATCCCAGCCTGCATGTGTGTAAGTGCACCCAGGTCATGCAATGCCGGAGGAGTCCAGAAGAGGGTGTTGGATCCCCTAAAACTGGAGTTACAGACAACTGTCAGCCACCATGTGGGTGCTGGGAACTGAACCTGGGTCCTTTGCAAGAGTAGCCAATGCTTTTAACCACTGAGCCATTTCTCTAGCCCCTCTGCAGCTCTTTTGTCTTGCTGTTCCTGATTTGCACCTTTATAATAAGCCAGTAAACAAAAAGAAAATGTCTTTTTGAGTTTTGTGAGCTGTTCTAGCAAATGTGTGTGTGTGTGTGTGTGTGTGCGTGCGCGTGTGTGTGCGTGTGTGCGCGTGTGTGTGCGTGTGTGCTTGTGCATATTACCAGGCTCTGAACCTAGAGCCTTGTACATGCTAGACAAGAACTCTACCACTGAGCTATATCCCTCGCCCTTTTTTATTTTCTAGTTTGAGACAATGACCATTTTGTTTTCCAGGTTGGTTTTGAACTCACTCTGTAGCCCAGGTTGGCTTTGGGCTTGTGATCATTCTGCCTCAGCCTCGAGAGTAGCTCTGAGGCTCTGTCCTATGGCGAATTATTAAACCCAAGCGGGGAATCATAGAAGTTCCCAATTTATATAGCAGGTTACGAGGTTTGGACTTGAAATTTTTTCTGAAATAGGGTCAGCCTTGTGGGACTGAGACCATTAGCTTGTGGAATTTGATGTTCTCTCCAGGTAAGTAGAGTCAGGATTGGATTCCATTGTGGTACAGCAAGCTGGTTGGTGCAGAGAGAGTCGGAACATTGCTCAGTGTAGAAATCTACCACGTATTTGCTATCAGAAGTACTGAGTGTCATCTAGGGAGGGGCAGTTGGAGATGGTCCAGCTCTAGGCTATGAGAGATTCTGAAAGTGAAAGGAATCCGAACATAGGGGCTACTCACTGGAGCTTCTTCCTGCCTTGTGGAGAGCAGTGTTGGTCAGGTGACTTGGTGCCTGCTCAGCAGAGGCACAAGACCCTGGAAGGGAGAAGGCCTGTAATGTCCAGAACCCTCCCCACCCCTCACCCCGCATTCCCAGAAAAGTAACTGGCATCTTTGTCCACAGTACATTCAGGAATTCACCAATGAAACATGGCAGGCACGTACTGGCAGGGCATTGCCCGACCACCTGGTTTTGCTTGTGTGGTCCCTCATCGTGTCTCTGTACCCTCTGGGAGGCCTCTTTGGAGCACTGCTTGCAGGACCCATGGCCATCACACTGGGAAGGTAGGTGCTTCTTGTTTGTCACCTGAATGCTCTGTAATGAGGGGCATGAAGTCTGCAGGCTAAGGAAAGAAGGACGCAGAAGATGCCAGCAGACTCTGGGCCCAGATCAGCTTCTTAGCCAGCCTCCTGAGCTGTCTGTGGATTCACATTTTCAAGAAAATCACATTTTCAAGAAAATTTGGTAAAGGAAGGAGTTCAGTGCAACAAAGGAAGGGAAGTCCTGGTTTCTAGTTCCTGTGGAACAAGTGTTATTTGACATTAAGCAAACGATTTTTTCTCTGGGCCTCAATTTCCCTCTGTGTTTCTGATGCAGTTCTTAGGTTGTAAACAACAGAAATTGACTCTAAGTAACATAATCAAAACTTATAATAACTAGAAGGATAGATAAAAGATTTTAAAAAATAAATAAAAATTTTAAATATTTTATTTATTTATTTTTTTGTGTGTATGAGTGTAATGCCTGCATGTGTTTAAGTGCACTCATGTCATACAATGCCTGTGGAGGTCAGGAGAAGGCATTGGATTTTCCTGGTCCTGGAGTTACAGATGGTTATTAGCCGCCATGTGGGTCCTCTTAACTGCTGAGTCAACTCTCCAGTCCCAGAAGAAATAAAATAAAAAAAAAATTATGGGGGCTGGAGAGATGGCTCAGTTGTTAAGAGCACTGACAGCTCTTGGAGAGGACCTAGGTTCTATTCCCAGCACCCACATGGTGGCTAACAACCATCCGTAACTCCAGTCCCAGGGGCATCTGACACCTTCTTCTGACCTCCGTGGGCATTGCATGACAAGGGTGCACTTACACACATGCAGGCAATAGACTCATACACATAAAAATAATAAAATAAAAATTATTATGTATGATAATAAATATTATAAATTTATAATATAAATAAATATTAAAAATATTATTATTTATGTATGAGTGTTATGCCTGCATGTATGTAAGTGCACCTGTGTCACCGTGCCTGCAGAGGACACAAGAGGGCATCAGATCCCCTAGAACTGGAGTTATGAATGGTTGCTAGCTGCCATGGGTGCTGGGAATCAAACTTGGGTCCTCTGCAAGAGTAGCCAATGCTTTTAACAACTGAGCTATTTTCCCAGCCATAGAAGAAAATTTTCCAAAGTGTTTATTATAGTGTATTTTTATAATTATTCAATTTATTATTAGTTATTGCCATTAACCTCATTGTGCCTATGTTCTAAATTAAACTTTATCATGTATAGTACATACATAGATAGTATCTACCTAGTATATGTAGAGTCAGGCTTCCACTGGGGAGATCTTGTAAAATATTCCCTATGGATAAGGGGAACTACTATAGTTAAATTGATCATTAAGTGGAGCTAAAGAGATAGCTCAGTGGTGAAGAGCACTGGCTGCTCTTGCAGAGGACACAGGTTTGGTTCTCAGCAACCGCATGGCAGTTAACAACTGTCTGTAACTCCAGTTCCAAGAATTCAATTCTGGCCTCCCCAGGCATATTCCAAACATGTGGTGCACTTATATACATGCAGGCAAATCACTCATGCACAAAAAATAAAGACAAATTTTAAAATTGAAAAAAATTATCATTAAGTGCAGACTATCAAGAGACTCCAGATGGTCATGGTCATGGCGGTATAGGCCTTTAATCCCAGCCCTCAGGAGGCAGAGGCAGGTTGATCATTGTGAGATCATGGCCAGTCTGGTCTACATATTGAGTTCTAGGCCAGCTGGGGCTTGAGGGAGACCCTATCTAAAAACAAAACAAAACAAAAACAAAGGAGGTGGGGGGGAGGGAGGGAAAGAGAGAGAGAGAGAGAGAGAGAGAGAGAGACTGAGACTCTAACTGCAGGTCATGTGAAACTCTTATGCTCAAAAAGAACACCTCTGTTCTGCTGCCCCTAGTGACAACACAGTGCTCTGAGGGGTCTTACTGAGGGAGAGGTAAATACACATACTGCTATATATGATATCAGGAATGGATGCTTATGGAGAAACGGTCTGCATATTCTGGTAGTTAGCAAAGGGATAGATTGTAGTCAGCTGGGTGATAGGAAGCCTTTATTGTTGAGCCCATGTGCATTTTCTAGCCTTGTCTCCACCTGCTTTGCTTATGAGCGGACAGAGCAAACTCTGAGCTGGCTAAGAACAGCAACCGAATACCATGCACAGTCTGAGATCCTTCTGTTTCTCTTTTCCTTATACTTTCCTTAAAACTAATCTTCAAATATTGCTTTGCCTGAGACTTTGTCCAACCAAGCCCCTTGAAAAAGTGACAAAATTCCATCCCTTGGAAGAATTCGAGTCCTTCAGTGTTGTGTAGGGCCATACTGATGCAACTCACGTACTTGTGGAAAACTTTGGGGCCCACTTGGGGCAAGTTTGTTATACAGCATGTCTATTCAGTGAGAGAGGACTGTTGTATGGCACCCAGCTCAGGACAGGTGCAGGACCGCCTGGTGTTCCACAACCCAGTGTTCATTCTCCACTATGACCTAATACAAAACCATGAGTGCAGCTTTTCTCACTAACAGAACCCACTGAAGTACGGTAGCTTTATCCTAAGCCCTAGGCCATGCTTTGACATTCCCCTTTAGGAGAGTCTAACGGCTACTATGAAGTCAAGTGACAGCACTTGGAGCCTGATCTGGACCCACTAGTGACCTCTTGCTCAGCTCCGCTCAGGCTGCCACAATTTCAAAAATTATCTGGTTAAAATATTCAAGTCACAATGACCAATGTGACATTTGCTCATAGTTTTTAGGACTACTATGAAACAGGAAAAGAGATTAATTTAACTCACAGTTCTAGAGACTCATGAGTGTGGCATTGGTACTGATTTCAATTGTGGTGAGGACCTCAGGGCAGATGGCATCACAGTGTCCAGAACACATTTTTTTCTGTGGCAAGATGGGAAGCCAGAGTGAGGGGAAGTGATGAGTTTCTTTCTTCTAAGCCTCCCTGCCCCCCCCCCACCCCCAAGCAAGCAGTCTGGAATTGGTGAAGGCCTAGGGAGTAGGCTACACTTTAACATTGCCATACTGGCATGGACTTCTAAATCCACATCCAAACCATAGGCATGCCGTCTCCAGAATAGAAAGCAGCTCTCTGATTTGTCCCTCCTCCTTAGGGAAACAACAGTTTGTCATGAGCTTTGGGGAACACGCTGACATATCCAGGTCCACTGGACCTCAGGAAAGTCATTGATGAGCACCCTCCTGATCTTCGATCTGTCATACCTATGCGTTACCAAGACAGTGGATGTCCTTGCTGCTTCCTCCTATCCAGGGTCTTTCAATGTGAACTCGTCAAAGTAGCAGTCAGCAGAGGCCCTGGGGGTGTGCAGGTCTCTAAGGACTGGACTGTGGCCCTACAGTGTTTTGCTCTACCAGATAAAAGTTAAATATTTCTGGAGTTCTCTGTGTATTGAAATGGAGCAAAATGCATTCACCAGAGTTAAGACTTAATTTTTAAAAGACTTTTTTTGGGAGGGGTTCTTTTTGAGACAAGGCTTCTCTGCAGCCCCAGCTGGCCTGAAGCTCACTGAAACTCAGACCAGGCTGGCCTGGAACTCACAGAGATCTGCCTGCCTGTACCTCCTGAGTGCTGGGATTAAGCCTGGCTTAAGACTTAATTTTTATTACTAAGAAAACATGTATTTTTAAACATGTTTTAATTGATTCTTTGAGAGTTTCATACAATGTATTTTGATCATATTCCCCCTCCTCCAACTAAGGTTTTTTGTTTGTCTTTTTGTTTTTTGTTTTTTTTTTTTGGTATTTTGAGTCTTTCTGAGACAGGGTCTTCCTGTAGCCTCAACTGGCCTGGAACTCATAATGTGGACCAGGCTGACCTTGAACTCGACTCACCTTCCTCTGCCTCCTGAGTGCTGGGACTGAGGATATAAACTACCACACCTGGCTCTCCACTTAACTGTTGAGACAGGCTCTCTAAACCTAGAGCTTACTGACTGATAAGCTGGCTAGCCAGCAAACCCCGGAGATCTGTCTGATTCTGCTACCTTCCCTCCCCTGCCCAGTTTTTACATGAGTGCTAGGGAGACAAATTCAGGTCCTCACATCTGTGCAGCATTTTTACACTGAGCTGCCTCCCCAGGCCCTAGTTCCTCCATTTTACAAAGGAGTTTGGGAAGAGCAATACATAATCTAAAGCAGAAAAGTCATAAGACATAAATTCTGTCATTTCAAGCTGTTGCACATGCAGAGAGGAGAGTCATTTGTACTTATGTTAGGGGACGGGAGTGAGGGTCTGCACCCAAGGCATACAAGTGAGCTTACCCTACAATGGTGAGTGGTCCTTTCGTTTCACATAGCTTATAGATCTTGAAACAGTTAATCAACCCATGGGTACACACCTACACACAGGTCCAGGAGGCTGTGCAGGGCTGACTGGAGTGGCAAAGGGGACCCTGGAGAAGGGCCCTCTAGATTGAGCCAGAGACTTTCTTGACTATGTTCCATTTCTTTGAAGGAAGAAGTCCCTCATAGTGAATAATATCTTTGTACTGGTTGCCGCTGTCTTGTTTGGCTTCAGCTGCAAGGCGAGCTCCTTTGAGATGATCATGCTGGGAAGACTGCTCATGGGAGTCAATGCAGGTACGGGGTGGAGCCTCTATTGCACCTTTCTATCCTGGTCATTCATGAATCCCCTTCTTGCCTTCTTTCCTTGATTCTCCTTATTTGTTGACTTAGCTTTCATTCATACACCCCATTTTGCAAGATGATTAAACATGATTTCTCTTAAAAGATTCATATTAACTTTAGATATTTATAATAGAAAAAGAAAAAGGTTTAAAACTTGTACAGGAATTTGAGGAAACAGCTCCAAACTTAAAACTAACAGTATTAGTCCTTTTTTTTTTTTTTTGTCTTTTTGAGACAGGGTCTCCCTGTAGGCCCAGAACTCACTATGTAGACCAGGCTAGCCTTGATGTCATAGAGATCCTCCTGCCTCTGCCTCCCTCCTGAGTTGTAGAGTTAAAGGCATGTGCCACCACATCCATGATGAGTCCTAAATTGAGCAACACTCTAAACCTGAGCTTCCTGACAGCCAGAGTGTAAAGGACAGAGGATGAATTCTTGGATTTTACCTGAAGAGGCCTGTTAGGAATTCCTCAGTTCCTGGGGATTGCAGAATTTTGAGTACATATACCTGGGGTTTTTTGGCGGGGGGCTCCAATCAACAAGTCATATCTATAACCCTGTAGGAATGTCCCACCATTTGACATTGTGGAGAACTGTGTAACTGAGTTATAAAAAAAATCTCATTATGTTTTAAGTTTATAATTTTGTGTTTAGGCCTCAGTCATAGCTATCCTTGGCTGCATGTGGCCCCATGGGCCGTGGGATGGAAATGCCTGGATATAGTCAGGTGTTGATGTCTGTGTTAGTTATCCATTCCTGTGAATCAAATTACCCCTAAATTGAGTGACTTAGAGCAACTAAGCATTATAATCTCAGTTTCTCTGGGTCAGGGACCCAAAAATGCCTTGGCTGGGTGGCTCTTGCGTGAGGTCTCAGGAGGTGATGCTCAAGCTGTCAGGTAGGGCTGCTGTCATCTGAAGCTTTGTCCTGAGCTGGATGATCTTAGATGCTACCCTCCCACCCTGTTGGCAGGAGGTCTCAGCTCCATCTACCGTGAGTCTCTCCACTGGACTGCTTGAGAGAAGAAAGAGGAGATGAGAAGAAGAGGAAGAAAAGGAAGAGGAGGAGGAGGAGGAGGAGGAAGAGGAGGAGGAGGAGGAGGAGGAGCAGGAGCAGGAGGGAGGAGAAGCAGGAGGAGAAGGGGTGGGGATGGGGGGGCAGCTGTAGTATTTTTTAGGTCCCCTTCTAGAAATTATGTTTCCACTTTCTAACTCATTGGAAGCAAGTTACTAAGAACAGTACCCCCCCCACCCCTCCAAAGGAAAGGAACCAGGTCAGACTTTGCCATTGTGCCCTGAGTACCCAAGGAAGGTGTCACTCCCTAAATGCTATCTGGAGGAGCAGGAGTACTTACGTGATTCCCTGGCCATCAGCATAGCTGCCCTTTTCTTCCATCCAACTTATGAAGAGATGGGTGGGAATTGATGGAGATGTTTCCTGATCCCAGGCCAGGGAGGGTGATGAGGCCACATCCCCTGCACTATTCTAGGGCCTATGATGCCCCAATACAGGGCCTCTTAGCTCTTGCCATTTGTCACCATCTGAGGTAGGCAGAAGGGACACTATCCAGCTTTGTTTTCCCACAGGCTATGTAGATGCCAGGTGCACCTTGGGAAAGTGGGAGGAGACAAAATCCATAGCTGTAGTGGCCAGTGAAAGCACTCATACCAGAGCCTGGGCTGTGGTGAGCATCCAGGATGTGGCCCTGCCTGTCTCCTCTCATCCACGTGCCTTGGAGATTGTGTTATGGTCCTGTCGCTCTAGGGAAATACCCCAGATAATGAACTTATAGAAAGTTTCACTTCTAATTCTGGAGGTTTCAGTCTAAGACTGAGTTCAGGAGTGTGCGGAGGAGAAAACCACTCCCCTACTGTATCAGGAAGCAAATAGGAAGAGGAAAAGACTGGAGCCTCACAGCCATCTTTAAAGGCATGCCTACAATGACTCTAAGACCTCCCAATAAAGCTCTACCTCTGCCACCGCACCCCTCACCAGTACTACCTTGTGGACCAAACCTTTAACACAAGCACCTTCGCAGAGCATTCTGCATTCAAACCATTGAAGAGACCTTCCTGCCTAGAGAGAGCCCATGAACATGTGGACACTGATCTAGGAAACACTCCTCTCCTAGAAGTCCTGAGGGGTACAGCTGGGGTCTTGTTCAGCTGGGGGTATGTGGGGTGAGAGTGGCCTATGACACCAGATTCCAGGCATAGTGGCACTGAGGAGTGTGTCACAGTGATCCCTCTTGGTAGCTGGTGTCCCCTGATGTCCCCAGGTGTGAGCATGAACATCCAGCCTATGTACCTAGGAGAGAGTGCCCCCAAGGAGCTCCGGGGAGCTGTGGCCATGACCTCGGCTATCTTCACAGCCCTTGGGATTGTGATGGGACAGGTAGTTGGACTCAGGTAAGCTACTGGCCTCTGTTTTCAAGGATGCCAGTAAAAACCTCTTTTCACCTAAAGCTCTCCTCTACCCACCAAGTGGAGTAAGACATTGCTTTTTTGCACAAAACTATTAAAAGCCTGAACACATCCATGTGTTGGATACAAAAGGGTGCCAATCAATCACACCTTCTCCCATCCTCTCCGGGGAGAAGAGGTAAGAGGGATGAGGATGGCAGTGCCCTGTTCCCCCTCAGCTCCTAGCTAGGTAGAAAGGATGCTGAGATCTAGATTTGTAGTTGGGTAGGAAGAGGCATAGGGCTATGTGACCCTCTGTAAGCAGGTGGGCCATTCAGCAGGGGGCTCGGGTCAAGGTAGGCAAACTATGCCAGGGAGGTGTTTCATTGCCCTGTCCTATCTTTGGCCTCTCCAGGGAGCTCCTGGGTGGCCCACAGGCCTGGCCTCTGCTACTGGCCAGCTGCCTGGTGCCTGGAGTGCTCCAGCTTGTCTCTCTACCCCTGCTTCCCGAGAGCCCACGCTACCTCCTCATTGACAATGGAGATACCAAGGCCTGCCTGGCAGGTGAGTTTGAGTCTCTAGGCAATCCCTGATCCAGAGCTGCATGCCACCAAAGCCTATGGGTCCTCATTGCTTGAAGTTTTTAAAAAATATATTTTATTTATTATTTTATATGTATGCATGTATGTCAGTGCACCTGAGTTGTGCAATGCCTGCAGAGGTCAGAAGAGGGCACCAGATTCCCCTAGAACTGGAATTACAACAGCTGTTTGCCACCATGTGGGTGCTGGGAATCGAACCCAGATCCTCTGCAAGTGCAGCCAGTGTTCTTAACTGCTGAACCAGCTCTCCAGCCATTGAGGGGATTTTTTTAGGTCTTTTTGAGACAGGGTCTCCCTGTAGCCCCAACTGTGCTGGAACTCACTATGGAGACCAGGCTGGCCTTGAACTCACAAAGATTCACCTGCTTCTGCCTCCTGAGTGCTGGGATTAAAGGCGTGCACCACCATGCCCTGCCGAGTTTGTTTTTTTTGTTTTTTAATTAAGGAAACAGTGCCCTTCCCTTTACCTCATCTTTATGATTTGTCATACATCCTTTCAAAACACTTCAAGGGGATATTGTAAATCATAGGACAATGGGGTGGATCAGACCCAGATGCTTTCAGTCAGGAAACCCAGGGAGGTGCTGAGAAATACACCGCACACATACATGCACATGTGCATGTGCATGTGCATGCAATGTGAAACAGTTGTAAATTTTGTGATTTGTTTGTTTTTAAGCAAGGAATTGCCTAAAAACCATGACACCCCCCCCCATGTTGGCCTTGAATTCACCATCCTCCAGCTTCAGCCTCCCAAGTAGTGGGATTGCAGGCAAGCCAAAATTTCTGGCTTAAAACAGCAATCATTTATGCTATCTTTTATTCATTTACTGGGCTGGCTGGGCAACTCTGCTTATGACCCTGGGAGTCAAGGCCAGCTGAGGTCTGACTGGGACAGGTCAGCTATGCAGAAACATCTGCTCTCTCACTTGTGGTCCAGATGGGTTAGCCTGGGAATGCCTTATGTTGTGATGGCAGAGGCATGGGCAGCCACACCCAGCTTCACATTAACCACACCCTCATACTCACTAATAGTCCATCAGCCAAAGGGACTCATGCTGTAGAGTACAAAGCCAGGAATGGAAAAATCAAAGGCACGCTGTTTAGGGAGACCTGTGAGGTACTCTGCCCCATGTGCTATCACCTGCAATTACCATGCAACTCTCAGCCCTGTGCAGAGTACATTTACTTCCATCCCAGAAGCCCCAAAGTCTCATCCAATCACAGCACAGTAGCACATCTAGCCAGTGCAGAGCTTGAGGCCCTGGATTGGAACATCACATTAAGTCTGTGGGGCTTTGTTGTTTTTGTTGTTGCTGTAGGCTTGTTTGTTGAAGACAGCATCTTACTATGTAACTCTGGCTGGCCTGGAATTCACTGTGTAACTCACTATGTAAACCAAGTTGGCCTCAAATTCACCTAGATTCACTTGCCTCTGCCTCCTGAGTGCTGGATTAAAGGCATGTGCCACTGCACCCAGCTTTTTATAGGCCTTTATTGTCACCCTGAGCCTGGGTCTGAAGTGACAGACTTCCTGCCTGTGTGTAGCACAGGGTGAAACTCAGTAGCCAGAATGAACTAAGCAGGCAAGAACACACAGAGCAGTCATCAGCCCATGACAATTCTGAGGAGCCCTGGCAACAGGCTGCCAGGTCCTCCTTGTTTCAGGGTGGGGAATGCTCGTTGATGGAGCCCTGACTTTGCCTCCAAGGAAAGCTTCCAGGCTACAGTTCTCCATGGCTCTCGCTGGCCTCTGAGATAGACCTCCTTTCCCAATAGCTTTCTCGACACCTTCTGAAGAGAGAACATTGGAAGAAGCACTCTGAGTGGCTGAGCAAATTTCCCAGCTGGCTTCTTGCCTGTAGAACACTGGGGACACAGAAGTCTTTTATTTTATTTCTTTCATTGTTTTCTTTTTTTTGAGACAGGGTCTCCTTGTAGCCCCAGCTGTAGCCCCAGCTGTCCTGGAACTCACTATGTAGACCAGGCTGGCCTCGAACTCACAAAGATATGCCTGCCTCTGCCTCCTAAGTGCTGGGATTAAAGGTGTGCACCACCACACCCAGCAATTTTTATTTTTATTTTTATTTTTTTTATGTGTATGGGTCTACTGCCTGCATGTAGGTAAGTGCACCCGTACCATGCAATGCCAGCAGAGGTCAGAAGAGGCCTTCGGATCCCCTGGGACTGGAGTTACGGACAGTTGCTAGCTGCCATGTGGGTGCTGGAATTCGAACCCAGGTCTTCTGTAAGAACAACCAGTGTTCTTAACTGCTGAGCCATCTCTCCATCCCCGGGACACAGAAGTCTTTATATTTCAAATTGTTTCTGATTTTGCCCAAGGTGGCAGACCTTTTGCCAATGTAACTTACTAAGAAATGATGTGCTTTCTTATGTGGAGGGAGAGAGAGAAAGGGAGGGAGGGAAGGAAGGAAGAAGGGGAGAGAGGGAGATTTTGGGGTGAGTAGAGTACACATTGTAGGAGAACAAAGACTGGTTGAGAGCTCAGCATTCCCTTCCATCTCAGCCCTGCAGCACTTTCGAGGTACCAGGGACGTGACTAGTGAGATGGAAGAGATAGAAAAGGAGCAAGCTTCCTGCCAAGGCCGTCGGGCACGGCGCCTGTGGGAGTTGTTCCAGGATCGTACCCTACGGAGGCAGGTGATCAGCCTTGTGGTGCTGAGCAGTGCCATGGAGCTCTGTGGGAATGACTCAGTGAGTCTCTGCCCTGCCCTGTTTCTGGGACTTGGGAGGTTTTCAGTAGGAAGCCACAGAAGGATGATGGGAACCACTGCTTCAGAGCTGCTTTTCCACCAACCCGACCCCAGGTGTATGCCTATGCCTCCTCTGTATTCCAAGAGGCCGGAATACCCACTGAGAAGGTCCAGTATGCCATCATCGGGACTGGGAGCTGCGAGCTCTTCACAGCTTTTATTAGTGTGAGTCTATGTTTGGGCCTACCTTCCACCAGCCCTGCTGAAGGGGGACCCTGGGGTGCTAATGCTCCCACAGTCTTTGTATTAAGCCATTTTTCTCTCCACTCCTTTAGGACACAGTGAGATATCACTCACATACTGAGCACCTGCTGTTTGCTAGGTGTTGACACAACTATTTTGAGATGAGAAAAGTAAATGAAGTTGGGTAACTAGTTGACTAAGACTGTCTGGGAAACAAATAGGTCAAATGTTATTGAAATAGAGCACAACTCCTGCCCAGCATCTTCACAAGGCCCCTCCCCATGCCTGCCCCCAAAAGGGATCATGGCCTGGTGTATGGGTTATTAATCAAAGCTTCATCCCTTTGCAGTGTGTGGTGATTGAAAGGGTGGGCCGGCGGGTGCTGCTGATTGTGGGGTACTCCCTGATGACCTGCTGGGGAACCATCTTCACAGTGGCCCTGAGCCTGCAGGTACTGGGCAGAACAAGGAGTAGCTGGGCTAGGGCTGGCTACCTTCTCACTCCTAACCAATTTGCTGCAGAGCTCCTTCCCTGGGATGCCCTACCTGGCCATGTCCTGCATCTTTGCCTTCATCCTCAGCTTTGGCATCGGCCCTGGTGAGTGGGCCCGAGGGCCTCTGGTCTTTGGGCTTTACTGATGGAATAGTGGATATCCAAGTGAGTGATACGTAAAGGAGCCACCCATGGACCTTGGAGCCACCTGCACTGAGGCCTTTGGGAGGGATGGCTAGAGGAGAGAACCCTTGCTCATTGGGTGGTGAGGGAGAGGTGGGGCAGGAAGACTGCTGGCATTCTGTTGCCTCTCCCTCATAGCTGGAGTGACAGGGATCCTGGCTACAGAGCTGTTTGACCAGACAGCCCGACCTGCTGCCTACATGGTCTGCGGGATACTCTTGTGGACTATACTCTTCCTGGTTGGGCTCTCGTTCCCCTTCCTTGTGGTAAGTGGGGGACTCTGTCTCTGTTTTTGTCCTTGGTGCTATGAACACTCTAGTGGGAAGCCTCCATCCAAGGAGACTGAGACTAAGGGGCAGGGATCCTATATGAGTAAAGGGGGAAGTTGGACTTGTCACAAACCTTTCATTGAGGGTCGAGGGGGAATCACCAGCTCTAGGGTCTCTTCTAATCCACAGAAGGCCTTGTCCCACTTCCTCTACGTCCCTTTCCTCTTTGTCTGTGTCTGTGGGGCCATCTACGCTGGCTTGTTCCTCCCTGAGACCAAAGGCAAGACCTTCCTGGATATCACTGAGGAATTGCACAGACTCAACTTGACCAAGAGGACCAGAGTCCCCACATGGAGTGATCCAGAGGTTATCCAGTCCACTGAGCTCTAGCTGCAAAGGTGTGGCCGGGCCAAAGCTGGCTGTCGCCCTTAGCGCCCTGCATTCACTCACTCCTACATTTTAGTGAGCAAGTCTGCATGGCCAGTGTGCAGTAATCAATCAATGACAAGACAAGAAATGGATCCCTTTGTGCTCACTGCCTCTAAAGACCGTCAACTGGCAGGAAGCCAGTAAAAGCATAATTACAAACTTAGGAAAACCAGCCAGAGAGAAACAGCTTATGTTGGATGTGTGTACCCAGGGAGATGGTCAGAAAAGAATTTTAGGAGGAACTGATCAATCAACTTTATTGGCTTGTAACTTACATATATAATCAAATATATCCATTTTAAGTATGCATTTGATGAGTTTTGACAGATGGATACACTCATGAAAACCTACCATAGTCAAGCTGGACCATTCATATCACCCTCAAAACATCATCATGTCCCTTGGCTCTCAACCCACCTCACCCTAGGCTAGGCAACCACTGTTCTGCTTTTTGTCAGTATCTGATATGTCCGTTTTAGAATTCAGTATAACTCCATATTCTGTGGTACATATGTGTCTGGCTTCACTTCAGATAAAATTTTTGAGATCTAGCCAGGAGTGATGGTGCACGCCTTTAATCCCAGCTCTTGGGAGGCAAAGGCTGGCAGATCTCTGTGAGTTCAAGGCCAGTCTGGACTACATAATGAGTTCTAGGCCAACTGGGGCTACAGGGAGACCCTGTCTTGAAAAAGACAAAAAAAAAAAACCAAAATTTTTGAGATCTATGAGCACATACATATTAACAAGTGTATTCCTTTGTGAACAATTATCCACATATGGATATGCCAGGTTTTCTTAGCCCAGTACCTGTGGGTGGACATTTGGGTGGTTTCTATTTCTTAATCATCATGAATAAAACTGCTGTCAACACTCCTACACAAACTTGTATAGACATGTTTGATTCCTTGTGTGTCTGAATCCGTTTGGGCTCCTGTAACACAATACCATAGACTGGGTGGCTAGTAATCAACAGAAATTTCTCACAGCTCTGGAGAATGGAAAGTCCAGGGTCAAGATGGTGGCAGATTTGGTGTCTTCTGTGGGCCCACCTCCTGGTTCATAAACAGCCCTCTTGCTATAACCTCACTTGGCACAGAGGATGAGGGAGAATTTCTTAAGCTCTATTTTTTGGGTTTTTTTTTTTTTTCATCTTTTTGAGACAGTGTCTCCCTGTAGCCCCAGCTGGCTTGGAACTCACTATGTAGACCAGGTTGGACTTGAACTCACAGAGATCCCTCGCCTCTGCCTCCCTAGTGCTGGGACTAAAGGCATGTGCTACCACACCCAGCTTTCTTAAGGTCTTTTATAAGGGCCTTATTCCTATTCATGAGGGCTCTACCCTTTTGATTTAACCACCTCCCTACGGCCCAACCTAAAAATAACATCAGATTAGGTGTTAATACAAATAAGAATCAAATATCTCCAAAGAATAGTGATTCTCAAGAGGGAATGACTGAGTACTGTGATAGGAATACTTGTGCCGTAGAAACTATGAGTGTATTCAAGACGCCCAGGGCAGAAAATTTTTGTTTATGGGATTTCTGCTTGCTTGCTTGATTGCTTGTTTTGATAGGATCTCTCTCTGTAGCCCAGGTTAATTTTGAACTTAAGGTTCTTCAGCGTTAACCTACTTAGTGTTGGGATTATAGGCATGAACATGTACGAGCCCTCCCCCTTTATAATTTCCTGATTCTCATTTTGTCTGTGTCTAACAAGAATGACTTTATCTTGGTGTCATCAACTTTCATATGGGGTTTATGTTTCAACATACAAAAGGAGGCACATCATGCTTCCAGAGATCTTATTTTCTTTTGTGTATGAATGTTTTGCCTGCAAGTATGTAAGTATACCCATGCAAGCAATGCCCACAGAGGCCAGAATAGGGCATCGGATTCCCTGAAACTGGAGTTAAGGATGGTTGTTAGCCCCCATGTGGGTGCTGGGAACCAAACCCGGGTCCTCTGCAAGAGCAGCTAGTGCTCTTAACTGCTGAGTTATCTCTCCAGCTCCCAAGGAGAAGTTTTAAAAAAAATATTTTATTCTTTGATAATTTCGTGCAACATATTTTGATCATATTCACCCCAACTCTTCCTTCCCCTAACTCCTCCCAGATCCATTCCTACCCCCAGCTCCCACCAACTTTGTCCTTTTTGTTTTTTTTTAATAACCCATCAACTCCAATTTGAGCTGCCCACATACTCCTGGGAGTGGGACCACCCACTGGAGCATGGTAAACCTGCCAAGAGCCACCCCATAAAGAAAACTGATTGTCTCTCCCTGAGAAGCCAACTGCCCATGGCTCCTCAGGGCTCAAGACTCATGAGCCCCCTCCTACAGGAGCCCCTGTGCTACAATGTTGCCTGGCTTAATCAAGGAGAATATTTTAAAGGAAGAAATTTGTCCAAGTTACTTGGATACAAAATTCATTACTTTTGGAAACCCAGGGCATGAGTTAACATTAGCTCACTGATGTTTTTGTTGGGAAAGTGTTCTGCCCAGAACATCTTGTCTGAAAGTTATGATCTTAAAGAATGTTAAAGTTGTTACAGAAATATGTGCATACATCCTAGAAGTGCAAAGCAGAGGGTATGGGTAGAATGAAGATAAATATTTGGGGGGCTTTGTGTTAACTTTTCTGATTTTCATTTTTATAGTAATGAAAAATAATAGTGAGCTTCACTATTTGAGGAGATGTTTGTTATTTGAATTGATACCTAATGTGATATTATTTGGAGACTGGGATTTTAGGAGGTGATTAGGTCATGAGGACAGAATCTTCATGAATGGGAATAGTACCCTTATAAAAGAGACCTAAGAAACAAAATACCTGATCCAAGCAACAACAACAAAAAAGGGAAAGGTTTATTTTGGCTCATGGTTTCAGAGGTTTTGTTCAATGCTTGTTTGACCCTGGTACCTTTATGCCTGTGGCAGCACAATGCATTATGAGGGAAAAGCTGTGTGGCAGCCAGGAAGAAAAAAAGGGGGGGGCATAGTCCCAATATACCCTTCAAAGGCCTACCCCTAATAAACTAACTTTCTTTCACTAGGTCCCACCTCTTAAGCTCTGTCACCTGCCAGTAGCATCATGGGCTAGTGATCTAGTCTCTAAGGGCCTTTGGGGGGCCGTTTATCCAAAACATAGCTAACCTTTAGAAGGTTCTTAAGAAAGTGTGTGCCCAGGCAGGCATGAGCCCTCCCCCCATAACTTCCTGGCTCTCATTTTGCCTGTGTCTAACAAGAATAATTTTTATTTTGGTGTCATCAACTTTCCTATGGGGATTAGGTTTCAGCCTAAAAATGGGGAGGGGGACATAAACATTCATATAATAGCTGTTTTTGGTAAATGAATTGTTAGGCTTAATAAATATATGTTGAAGCCACACAAGTGATAATACAGTGGTATTTTGCATTTATAATGGCAATACAGAGTTTCAAGCATCCCAGATCCTCATGAACACTTGGTATTTGTCAGTCTTTTAGTTTGAGACATGCACTACCCCACCCAGCAGTCAGACTTTTCAACTTAGCTATTCTAGTCAGTGTGCTCTGGTCTTTCATTGTGCTTTAAGTGTAGTATCTCCATGATGATTAATGATGTTGAATATCTTTTTATGTGCTCAGCAAGGCTATTCATATATATCTTTTTATGAAGAATCTGTCTTCTGTCCACTCTTTTCATTGGATTTTCTCATTATTTATGAATTGTAGCATTCTTTATCTATTTCGGATGCCAGTACTTTGTTAGATGTCAAATGTATTGTAAATATTTTCTTCTACTAATCATATCTCACAGCTTGCCTTTTTTTTTTCTTTTTAAGGACAGGGTCTCATGTATCCCAGGCTGGCCTCAAGCTTACTGTATAGCCAAAGATGACTGTAAACATTTGATCCTCCTTGCCTTCACCACCTCCCCAAATACTAGGATTACAGGCATGTGCCACCACACCGTTGTGTATATAGTGCTGGGACTAAACCCAGGGTTTTGTGCATGCTAGATAAGCACTCTACCAATTGAGCTACATCTCTAGCTCCCTTTTTTATTTTTTTTAAAAAGATGGGTTTTTAAATGTGTGTGTGTGTGTGTGTCTGTGTGTGTGTGTGTGTGTGTGTGTGTGTGTAGGAACATGTGTGCAGGTGCCCAAGAGGGTGTCTGATCCCTTGGAGCTGGAATTACGGGCAGTTGTGTGTTGCCCCATGTGATGCTGGGAATGGAGCTGCAGTTCTCTGCAAGAGCAGGTACTCTTCTGAGCTATCTCTCCAGTCATCAGGTTAACTTTTATGTTTGATGTGAGGCAAGATTTAAAGTTTCCTTTTTTAATGGATACCAGTAATACCTACACTTTTTGTTTTAAAAAGGTCACCTTTCCCCCCATTGAATTACTTGGCACCTAATTTTTTTTTAAATCAGTTGACCATTGTTGTACAGTGAATCATTTACTGACATTTGGCAGGAAATGGAATCTGCTAAGTAGAGTGACTGGGGCAGTAGATTCTCTGGGGAGAGAGAAATCTCTGGGTCAAGGGTGCTTAGAAGTAGTCTCAGAGCAAAGGGGATCTTGAGAGACTTCCCATGCACAAGATCAGCAGTAGAGGTGGCAGTGTTGAAGGACAAAAATAAAGCCTGTGGGCTAGAGTGATGGCTCAGCAGTTAAGAACACTGGTTGCTCTTGCAGAGGACCTGGGTTTGATTCCCAGCACCTACATGGTGGTTAACAACCATCCAGAACTCCAGTTCCAGGGGAACCCAATCTCCTCTCCTGACCTCTGCAGCATTGCAACACATGGGTGCACTTACACACATGCAGGCAATACACCCATACACAGATAATAAAAATAAGTATTTTTTTTATTTTAAAGAAGAAATTCCATGTGCCTGGTCATTGTGGAGTCTTTCAGGGGCAAGCTGCAGTCTCCTGAGGAATCCTTGTGTGGTCATCTTGCTTCTCCCTGACATCTATTTTTTTTAAGATTTATTACTATTTTTTTAAGTTATGTGGGGGCAGTGCATGTGCATGTGAGTGCAGGTGCCCATGGAGGCCAGAAGAGTCAGATCCCCTAGAACTGGAGTTATAGGTGGCTGTGAGCCACCCGACATGGGTGTTAGGAACCAAATTTGGGTCCTCTGCAAGAGCAGTTCACATTCAACCATTAAACCATCTCTCCAGGCCCCATCTTCTGTTGACTGACCTCCTCAGCTTGGCCTTGGGCCCCACATAACTGTCCTGGCTGCTGTGGCTGCAGTCTTCTGGTGAAGATTCATGGTACATTATCAGTGTCTCCCTAACATGTGCATAGATAGGGTGTGAACAGTCATCGGCTGGTGTTTGGTGCCTTGGTTCTCAGTTGGGTCCAATCCTCCCAACATGTCCTGTTTACCCTCTGCCAAACCAGGGCCTGCTCTGGCAAGGATGACTTCCCTTTGGGATTGAGGGACAGTACCAGGAGGAATGGAAGAGACTGGCTGGTCATTTTGGGATCAGGGGCAGGTCTGGCCTGGTGGCTGACCTGCTTCTGCTGTGCCTGTGTATTAAGGTGTGCACATGAATGACCAACTCATGTACCCAGAGGGAGCCTCCAGGTACCTCCAAAGGCCTCCAAGGGACATGGCCATGCTCCAGCCTCAACCCACCTGCCGAAATCCAAGACTCTAGACCCACATGATCTTTCCTTACCTCCCAAAGCATAGAGTCAGTCCCTCTTCTGGTCTGAATCCCTACCTTGCTGGTTAACCTGAGTCTGCAAGCCTTGGCTGCCCAGGACCCAAACCCAGGGGGCAGCATGTCGTGTGACTCCAGGTGATGCTCTCCAGTGTCCGGGCTCACACAGCTGCCGACACTGCCCAGCTCTCTCTCATAGCTGCTAGCCTGCTGTCTTCCCTCAGATCCTCGGGGTCTCCGACACAGGCCACTCCTTCTATTCTTTGGTGCTGCCATGTATTCATTCCTTCAGTTTACACACATCCACTTA